TGCCTAGGTTTTCTTCTAGAATTTTTATGGCTCAAGGTCTTATATTTAAGGCTTTAATCCATCTTGAGTTAATTTTTGTATAAAATGTAAGGAAAGGATCCAGTTTTGGCTTTCTGCATATAGCTAGCCAGTTTTCAAAACACCATTTATTAAATGGGGAATCCTTTCCCCATTGCTTCTTTTTTTGGGTTTCTCAAAGATCAGATGGTTGTAGATGTGTGGCATTATCTCTGAGGCTTCTGTTCTGTTCCACTTGTCTTTATAACTGATTGGTCTATATATGTTTTGGTACTACTACCATGAGAGCACTTCCTATGATTTCCATTATTTTGCATTTACTGAGGAGTGTTTTACATCCAATTATGTGGTCAATTATAGAATACGTGCAATGTGGTGCTGAGAAGAATATGTATTCTGTTGATTTGGGGTGGAGTGTTTTGCACATTTCTATGAGGTCCACTTGGTCCAGAGCTGATTTCAAGTCCTGGATATCCTTGTTGATTTCCTATCTATTTGATCTGTCTAATGTTGACAGTGCAGTGTTGAAGTCTCTCAGTATTATTGTGTGGGAGTCTAAGTCTCTTTGTAGGTTTCCAAGAACTTGCTTTATAAATCTGGGTAACCTTGTATTGGGTGCATATATATTTAAAATGGCTCTTCTTTTTTCATTGATTTCTTTACCATTATGTAATTCAATCTTGGTAGGTTGTACAGGGGTCTTCAAAATGTTCATGAAAATGCATATGATGAAAAAATATGCATAGATTTAAAAATGTTTGCACCAAAATAAACTCACAAATTCATTATAATATGTATAAGCAGACTCTATTTTGAGGCATAAGAAAGACAAGGCACCAGTTTGAAAAAAGCCCCTATCAGAGCAACATAAATTTTGCTAAAATCGAAGCAAGAACAAACATTAAATTTATGATAAAATTTGGATAGTAGAATGGCAAAATCATTGATGACTTACAAAAAGCAAATGAATCAGCAGTTTACAAATGGATATCGCATTTTAAGAAGAGACAATTTGATGTTGAAAATGAATCTCACAGACCATTTGGATCAATTTGTAAGGAAAAACATAAATCTTAGGTGTGCCCTAATTGAAGAGAACTGATAACAGCACAAACAATAGCCAACACCATAAACATCTCAATGGATTCAGCTTACACATTTCTGCCCTGCCTCCCACCACCAAGAAAAAGAAAGAAAAAGAAAATAGACTTTTCACTCAATGGTTGCCAAAACTGCTGTGCATACATCAGCTACAGACAAAAACAGAGCCTTCAATGGAAATTTTAAACAAGCAGGATCAAGATCCTGAAGCATTTCTTTAAGGAATCATATTACAGGAGGCGACACATAGCTTTACCAGTATGATCCTGCAAATAAAGCAAAGTCGAAGCCATGGCTGCCAAGAAGTGGAAGTGGGGTCTAGTCAAAACACAACAAGACCATTAAAGAACAAAGGTAATGGTAAAACTTTTCGGTGTGCTTAATGCATTTTGCTGTTGACTTTTGTGAGGGCCAAAGAATGAAAATATCTGCTTATTACGAGAATGTTTTCAGAAATTAGGCAAATCTTTAGCAGAGAAACACCCAAGGAAACTTCAATAAAGTGTCCTTCTCCACCATGACAATGTTCCTACTCATTTCGCTCATCAAACAGTGGCAATTTTGTAATTTTGCAAAATTTGTTGATGTGAATCACATTTATTTATTTGGATATGTTGAACCGTTCTTGTATTCCTTGTATGAATCCCACTTGATGACGCTGTATTAACTTTTTGATGTGCTGTTGAATGTGGTTTACTAGTATTTTGTTGAGGTTTCTGTATCAATGTTTATCAGAGATATTGGCCTATAGCTTTATTTTTTATTTATTTATTTATTTATTTATTTATTGTTCTTGTCTGGTTTTGATTTCAGGGTGATGCTGACCTCTTGGTTAGGAACATTCCCCACCCCCTTCCATTTTTGAATAGTTTCAAGAGGATTATTATTAGTTCTTCTATGTAAATTTATAGAATTTGGCTGCGAATTCATTCAGTCTTGGGCATTTCTTTGCCAGGAGACGTTTTATTCCTGATTCATTCTTACTACTCGTTATTGGTATGTTTAGGTTTTCTATTTCTTCCTGATTCAATCTTGTACGTTGTATGTTACTGAGAACTTACTCATCTCCTCTAAATTTTCCAGTTTGTCAGCATATAGTTGTTCATAATAGTTTCTAATGATCTTTTGTATTTCTCTGATATCCGTTGTAATGCCTTCTTTTTCATTTCTGATTTTATCTTAGTCTTCCCTTTGTTCATCTAGTTAGTGGTTTATCAATTTTGTTTATATTTTTGAAAAGCCAACTTTTTATTTTTTTGATTCTTTGTATTTTAATCTCTGTTTTACTTAATTTTTCTTTGATTATTATTATTTCTTTTCTTCTGTTTATTTGCAGTTTGGTTTGTTCTTGCTTTTCTTGTTCCTTGAGATGCACTATTACATTATTAATTTGTAATCTTTCTGCTTTTTAAAAGTAGATATTTATTGCTATAAGCTTCCTTTTTAGCCCTGCTTTTGTTGTATTCCATAGTGTTTGGTGTGTTGTGTTACCGTTTTATTTGTTTCAATAATTGTTTTATAATTCTGTCTTAATTTCTTTGTTGACACAATGGTCACTCAAAAGAATGTTGTTTAATTTTCATGTATTTCTATGGTTTCCAAATGTGTAAACACTCTCAACAAAACAATATCAAACTTAATTCAACAGCACACTAAAAATACAATGCATCATTATCAAATGGGATTTATCCCTAGGATACAAGTATCATTCAACATATGCCAATAAATAAATGTGATATACCACATTAACAGAATAAAAGAGAAAGATCATATGATCCTCTCAACAAATTCAGATAAAGCATTTGACACACTCCAGCATCCCGTCATGAAGCAATTCTCAATCAACTGGGTATAGAAGAAAAGCCTGTTAACAAATAAGGCCATGTATGACCAACCCACAGCTGTTATTACTCAATCATAAGGAGCAGAACTTTTTTCTCTAAAATAAGAAACAAGACAAAAGTGCTCACTCTTACCACTTCTATTCAACACAGTAGTGGAAGTCTTAGCTATAGCAAAAGGAAAAGAAAAGTGCCATCCAAATGTAAAAAGAAGTAAAATTATCTCTGCTTGCAGATGACATAATCTTGGATACAGCAAATTATAAAGATTCCAACAATAAATGTGTTGGATACAGCAAATTCTAACAATTCCAACAATAAGTGTGCTGGAAATAAGAAACACATTTAGAAAACTAGCAGGATATAAAATCAATATTCAATAATCAGTGTATTTCTATACACTAACAACAAACTCTGAAATCAAATTTCTAAAAAATCTTATTTAAACATCATCAAAATAATAAAATATGTAGGAATACATTTAACCAAGGATTTGAAAAAGTCTGCACCTTAAAAATTATAAGACACTGATGAAAAAATGAAGGATAGACACAAAGAAATGAAAAACGTCCTTTGTGCATTTTCTGGAAAATTAATATTGTTAAATGTTCATAATTTACAAAATGATATAGGGATTCAGTGTGATTCCTATCAAAATTTCAATGGCATTTTTCACATAAATAGGATAAACAATTCTAAAATTAGTATGGAACCACAAAAGACCTCAAATACCCAAAGCAATCTTCAGAAAGAAAAAAGCTAGAGTCTTCACACTTCCTGATTTCAAATTATATTACAATGCCACAGTAATAAAAAGAATATAGTATTGGAATTAACAACTGACACATAGACCAATGAAACAGAACTGGACCCCAGAAATAGATTCACACATATACTATACTATCTTGGTATCCTTGATAAGGATACCAAGATTGCATAATGGCAAAAAGATAAGTTTCAATAAATGGTATTGGGAAAAATGTATATCCACATGCAAATCAATAAACTTAGATTCTTCTAACACTCACAAAAATCTACTAGAAGTAAATTAAAAATGTAAACATAAGACTAAGAAGCATAAAACTTCTGGAAGACATGGGTGGAAAACTCCTTCATAGTGATTTGGCAATTATTTTTGGATCCAACACCAAAAACACAAGCAACAAGACAAAAATAAGCAAGTATAGCTACATCAAACTGAAAATCTTCTGCATAGCAAAGGAAACAACAGAATTTAAAAAGTACCATATGAAATGGGCCTAGAAATGGCCAATAGATACAGGAAATGGTGCTGAACTTTACTAATCGTCAGTGAAATGCAAATTAAAAGATATTACCTTATACCTGTTATAATGGCTGTTGTCAAAAAGACAAGGAATAAACAAGTGTTGGCAATGATGCAGAGACAAAGGAAGCATTTAACACTATTGGTGGAAATGTCCATTGTTATGGTCACTATGGGGTAGAGTATAGAGGAGCCTTCACAAATTAAAAACACAACCACCATATAATCCAGCAAATTAAAAACACAAATCAAAAATACAACCACCATATAATCCAGCAATCTCACTTCTGCATATATATCCAAAGGAAAGAAAATTAGTATCACACAGAGATACTTTCACTATTATGTTTATTGCAGCTTTATTCATAATAGCCAAGACCAGGGAACAAAGTCTTCCAGCATATGGATAAATGAATAAAATAATTGTGAGACACATGTATAAAATGGAATATTTCTCCTAAAAAAGAAAGAATTTCTGCAATTTGTAACAATATGAGTAAGATTTGAAGTCATTGTGTTAAGTAAAATAAGCCAGACACAGAAAGGCAAATACTGCATGATCTTACTTTTATGTGGAATCAAAAAAAAAAAAAAGAAAAGAAAAGAAAAATGAAAGTCAAATGCATTAGAAAGAGAGTAGAATGTTGATTACCAGTGTCTGGAGGTGAGGGACGTGGAGAGATATTGGTCAAAGGGTGTAAACAAATCCTACAGTTATAGGATGAATAAGTCTGTAGACTAATTTACAGCATGGTAACTAGTTAGCAGTAACATATTATAAACTTGAAACCTTCTAAGAAACTAGATCTTAAGTATTCTCACCACACATAAAAGTAACGATGTGAAATGGTAAATATGTTAATTAACTTGGTTGTGGCAATTATTTTATAATGTATACATATATCAAATCATTACCTTCTATATCTGAGCTAAGCTACCATTGTCTGACTGAAAACTCATTCTTAAGAGGACATGCTTGAGAAAGGCTTAGAGGCCACAGACTTATCTCCTGCTGATGCTACTTCTACAAAGTCATCACTTAAAACCAGCTAAAGATTATCTATTTCATAGGATATTGCAAATGGCAAGAAGCAGCTAAAACATATCAGCGCTAGAGTTAGGGTCTCTATTATCATGAGGTTTGGCTTACAAACTATCACTAGCAAAATTACTAACAAATATTCTTCCATAGCACAAATCGGGTTACTAGCTTTCTAGCCTACATTTTTTGTGTTCTCTCTGCATGCTAGTCATATAGCAGTACCACAACTCTCATACCAAATTTTATATTAATTAATATATATAATGAAACTGACATAAAAAAGAGACCACAAAATACAATGGATTCAAAAGGTAGAATCTTATTTCTCACATAAAATTCACGTAAGTAGGAGGAGGAAGGTAGAGCAAGATAATCAAATAGAATCCTCTTGCAATTGTTCCCCCAACCCCACAGGAAAACCAAATTGAACATTTGTTTAAAAACAAAAGAAGCCTCCTTTTATAAAACCCAAAAATCAATTGAGAAATCACAGTACTTATTATTAACACCATATTAAGAAAAGAGGCAGACTTCCAGGCAAGATGGCCAGATAAGAACAGCTCCTGTCTGTAGCTCCCAGCAAGATTGATGCATAAGGTGGGTGATTTCTTCATTTCCAACTGAGGTACCCAGTTTATCTCATTGGGACTGATTGGACAGTGGGTGAAGCCAAGGGGTCAAGGGATTCAACTCCCCTAGCCAAGGCAAGTCATGAGAAACTGTACCAGGAGCAACAGTACATTCCAGCTTTTCCCATGATCCTCACAACCAGCAGACCAGGAGATCCCCTCTGGTGCATATGACACCAGAGTCCTGGAATTCAAGCACAAAACAGGGTGTCTGTTTGGGCACACATCGAGCTAGTGGCAGGAGTTTTTTGTTCATATCCCAGTGGCACCTGTAATGGCAGTAAGACACACAACTGTTCACTCCTCTGGAAAAAAGGGCTTAAGCCAGGAAGCCAAGTGGTTGCCCTCAGTAGGTCCCACCCCATGGAGCCCAAATAGCTAAGATCCATTGGCTTTAAACTCACTGCCAGTACAGCAGTCTAGGGTTGATCTGGGTCACTGGAGCTGGGTGGGAGGAGGGGTGTCTGCCATTGCTGATGCTTGAGTAGGTGGTTCTACCCCTCACAGTGTAAACAAAGCCACCAGGAAGTTTGAACTGAGCAGAGCTCACTCAGCTCAGCAAGGCCTCTGAGGAGAGGCTACCTCTTTAAATTCCCCCTCTGGGCAGGGCATCTCTGAAAAAAAGGCAGCAGCCCCAGTCAGGAACTTATAGATAGAATACCCATCTCCCTGGTACAGAGCACCTGGGGGAAGGAAGTCTGTGAGTGCAGCTTCAGCAGACTTAAACATCCCTGCCTGAAAGCTCTGAAGAGAGCCATGGATCTCCCAGCACAGCGTTCAAACTCTAATAGGGGAAAGACTGCTTCCTCAAGTGAGTCCTTGACTGGGAGACACCTCCCAGTAGGGGCTGACAAAAAACTCATACAGGAGAAATCTGGCTGGCATCTGGCAGGTGGCCCTCTGGGACAAATCTTCTAGAGAAAGGAACAGGCAGCAATCTTTGCTGTTCTGCAGCCTCCACTGGTGATAATCCAGCAGAAATGGTCTGGAGTGGACCTCTAGCAAGCTCCAGCAGACTTGCAGCAGAGTTACTGCTAGAAGGAAAACTAACAAACAGAAAGGAACAATCACAAGAAGGACGTCCACTCAGTTACCCCGTGTGAAGGTCACCAACATCAAAGACCAAAGGTAGATAATTCCAGGAGGATGGGGAGAAACCAGCACAAAAAGTCTAAAAATTCCAAAAACCAGAACACTTCTCCTCCTTCAAAGGATCACAACTCCTTTCCAGCCACAAAACAAAATGAGACAGAGAATGAGTTTGATGAATTGACAGAAGTAGGCTTCAGAAGGTGGGTAACAACAAACTCCTCTGAGCTAAAGGAGAATGTTCTAACCCAATGCAAGGAAGCTAAGAACCTTGAAAAAATGTTAGCTGAATTGCTAAATAGAATGACCAATTTAGAGAAGAGCATAAATAACTTGATGGAGCTGAAAAACACAGCATGAGAACTTCATTAAGCATACACAAATATTAATAGTCAATTTGATCAAGCAAAAGAAAGGGTATCAGAGACTGAAGATCAACTCAATGAAATAAAACAGGAAGACAAGATTAGAGAAAGAAGAGTGAAAAAAAACAAAGCCTCCAAGAAATATGAGACTATGTGAAAAGACCAAATCTGCATTTGATTGGTGTACCTGAAAGTGAGAGGGAGAATAGAACCAACTTGGAAAACACTCTTCAGGATATTATCCAGGAGAACTTCCCCAACCTCACAAGGCAGGCCAACATTCAAATTTAGGAATTACAGAGAACACCACGAAGATATTCCTTGACAGGAGCAACCCAAGGCACATAATCACCAGATTCACCAAGGTTGAAATGAAGTTAAAAATGGTAAGGGCAGCCAGAGAAAAAGGTCGGATTACCCATAAACAGAAGCTCATCAGACTAACAGCAGATCCCTCAGAAGAAACCCTACAAGCCAGAAGAGAGTAGGGCCAATATTCAACATTCCCAAACAAAAGAATTTTCAACCCAGAATTTCATATTCAGCTAAACTAAGCTTCATAAGTGAAGGAGAAGTAAAATCCTCTACAAACAAGTAAATGCTGAGAAATTTTGTCACCACCAGGCCTGCCTTACAAGAACTCCTGAAGAAAACACTAAACATGGAAAGAAATAACCAGTATCAGCCACCACAAAATCACACCAAATTGTAAAGACCATTGATGTTATGAAGAATCTCCATCAGCTAATGGGCAAAATAACCAGCTAGCATCATAATGACAGGATCAAATTTATACATAACAACATTAACCTTAAATGTAAATGGGCTAAATGCCACAATTAAAAGACACAGACTGACAAATTGGATAAAGAGGCAAGACCCATCAGTGTGCTGTATTCAGGAGACCCATCTCACATGCAAAGACAAATATAAGCTCAAAATAAAGGGATGGAGAAAGATTTACCAAGCAAATGGAAAGCAAAACAAATCAGGGGTCTCAATCCTTGTCTCTGACAAAACAGACTTTAAAGCAACAAATATCAAAAGAGACAAAGATGGGCAATATATAATGGTGAAAAGATCAATGCAACAAGAGCTAACTATGTTAAATATATATGCATCCAATACAGGAGAGCTCAGATTTGTAAAGCAAGTTCTCAGAAACTTGCAAAAACACTTAGACTTCCACACAATAATAGTGGGAAACTTTAACACCCCACCATGACTAGCAGACAGATCAATGAGACAGGAAATCAACAAGGATACCCAGGACTTGAACTCAACTCTGCACCAAGTGGACTTAATAGATATCTACAGAACTCTCCACTCCAAATAAACAGAATACACATTCTTCTCAGCACCACATCACACTTATTCTAAAATTGACTACATAATTAGCAGTAAAACACTCCTCAGCAAATGCAAAAGAATGGAAATAATAATAAACAGTCTCTCAGACCAAAATGCAGTCAAATTAGAACTCAGGATTAAGAAACTCAATCAAAACCACACAACTACATGGAAACCGAACAACCTGCTCCTGAATAACTACTCGGTAAATAATGAAATGAAGGCAGAAATAAAGATTTTTTTGAAACCAATAAGAACAAAGACACAATGTACCAGAGTCTCTGGGACACATTTAAAGCAGTGTGTAGAGGGAAATTTATAGCACTAAATGCCCACAAGAAAAAGTTAAAAAAAAACTAAAATCGACAACCTAATATCACCATTAAAAGAACTAGAGAAACAAGATCAAACAAATTCAAAAGCTAGCAGAAAATGAGAAATAACTAAGATCAGAATAGAACTGAAGGAGACAGAGACAAAAAAAAAACCTTCAAAAAAATCAATGAATCCTGGAGGTGCTTTTTGGAAAAAATCAAAAAAAATAGACCATCCAGGCTAATAAAGAAGAAAAGAGAGAAGAATCAAATAGAAGCAATATGAAATGATATAGGGGATATCACCACTGATCCCACAGAAATACAAACTACCCTCAGAGAATACTATAAACACTTCTATGCAAATAAACTAGAAAATCTAGAAGAAATGGACAAATTTCTGGACACATACAGCCTCACAACACTATACCAGGAAGAAGTTGAATCCCTGAATAGACCAATAACAAGTTCTCAAATTGAGGCAGCAATTAATAGGCCACAAACCAAAAAACATCCAGGTTCAGAGGGATTCACAGTCGAATTCTACCAGAGATAATAAAAAAAAAAAAAAAAAAAAAAAAAAAAAAAAAAAAAAAAAAAAAAAAGAGCTGGTACCACTCCTTCTGAAACTATTCCAAACGATGGAAGAGGAACTCCTCCCTAACTCATTTTATGAGGCCAGCATCATCCTGATAACAAAACCTGGAATAGACACAACAAAAAAAGAAAATTTCAGGCCAACATTCCGGATGAACATTGATGCGAAAATACTCAATATAATACTGGCAAAGTGAATCCAGCAGCACATCAAAAAGCTTATCCACCACAATCAAGTCAGCTTCATCCCTGGGATGCAAGTCTGCTTCAACATATGCAAATCAATAAATGTAATCCATCACGTAAACAGAACCAATGACAAAAACCACATGATTATTTCAATAGATGCAGAAAAGGCCTTTGACAAAATTCAACAGCTCTTCATGCTAAAAACTCTGAATAAACTAGGTATTGATGGAATGTATCTAAAAATAATAAGATTTATGACAAACCCACAGCCAATATTATACTGAATGGGCAAAAACTGTAAGCATTCCTGCTGAAAACCAGCCCAAGACAAGGATGCCATCACTAACCCCTCCTATTCAACGTAATATTGCAAGTTCTGGCCCAGGCAATCAGGCAAGAGAAAGAAATAAAGCATATTCAAAAAGGAAGCAATGAAGTCAAATGGTCTCTGTTTGCAGATGACATGATTATGTGTTTAGAAACCCCATCATCTCAGCCCAAAATCTCCTTACTGAGAAGCAACTTCAGCAAAGTCTCAGGATACAATATCAATTTGCAAAAATTACAAGCATTCCTATACACTAATAATAGACAAACAGAGAGTCAAATTATGAGTGAACTCCCATTCACAATTGCTACAAAAAGAATAAAATACCTAGGAATACAACTTACAAGGGATGTGAAGGACCTCTTTAAGGAGAATTATAAATCACTACTCAAGGAAATAAGAGAGGACACAAACAAATGGAAAATCATTCCATGCTCATGGGTAGGAATAATTAATATGAAAATGGCCTTACTTCCCAAAGTAATTTGTAGATTCAATGCTATCCCCATCAATCTATCACTAACATTCTTTTCAGCATTGGAAAATTACTTTAAATTTCTTATTGAGCAAAAAAAGAGTCTGCATAGCCAAGACAATCCTAAGCAAAAATAACAAAGCAGGAGGCATCATGCTACCTGACTTCAAACTATACTACAAGGATACAGTAACCAAAACATCATGGTTCTGGAACAAAACTTACATCTTATACAAAAATTAACTCAAGATGGATTAACGACTTAAACATAAGAACTGGAACCATAAAAACCCTAGAAGAAAACCTAGGCAGTATCATTCAGGACATAGGCATGGGCAAAGACTTCATGACTGAAACACGAAAAGCAATGGTAACAAAAGCTAAAATTGACAAATGGGATCTAATTAAACTAAAGAGCTTCTGCACAGCAAAAGAAACTATCATCAGAGTGAGCAGGCAACCTAGAGAATGGAAGAAAAATTTTGCAATAAATTCATCTGACGGAGGTTTAATATCCAGAATTTACAAGGAATTTACATGAATTTATAAGAAAAAAAATTCCATCAAAAAGTGGGCAGAAAATATAAACAGACACTTCTCAAAAGAAGACATTTATGCAGGAAAAGTTCATCATCACTGGTCATTAGAGAAATGCAAATCAAAACCACATTAAGATACCATCTCATGGCAGTTACAATGGTGATCATTAAAAAGTCAGGAAACAACAGATGTTGGAGAGGATGTGGAGAAAAAAGAATACTTTTACACTGTTGATGGGAGTGTATATTAGTTCAACCATTGTGGAAGACAGTGTGGTGATTCCTTGGCCCAGCAATCCAATTACTGAGTATATACTCAAAGATTTGTAAATTATTCTACTCTAAAGACAGATGCACATGCATGTTTATTGCTGCATGGTTCACAATAGCAAAGACTTGGAACCAACCCAAATACCCATCAAAGATATACTATATAAAGCAAACATTGCACATATACACCATGAAATAATATGCAGCCATAAAAAAGGATGAGTTCATGTCCTTTGCAGGGACATGGATGAAGCTGGAAACCATCATTCTCAGCAAACTAACACAAGAACAGAAAACCAAACACCACACATTCTCACTCATAAGTGGGAATTGAACAATGAGAACACATGGACACAGGGAGGGGAACATCACACACTGGGGCCTGTAATGGGATGTGGGGCTAGGAGAGGGATAGCATTAGTAGAAATACTTAATGTAGAAGATGGGGTGATGGGTGCAGCAAAACACCATGACATGTGTATACTTATGTAACAAATCTCCACGTTCTGTACATGTACTACAGAAGTTAAAGTATAATAAAAAAAAATTAAAGATTTTTAAAAAAGAAAAATAAAAGAGGCACTAGAGAGGGTAGGAAAGACAGTATAGAATCACATACACAACGCCTTCCTCATCCCCCAGCAGTAGCCGCATGGCATGAAGACAGAATCTCTGCTGTCTGGGGAGGGAGAGTGTAGTGCTTGTGGGACTTGGCATTGAAACTCAGTGCTGCCCTGTCACAGTGGAAAGCACCATAGACAGAACTCAGCCAGCATCCCTGGAAGGAGATTTAGACCAGCCCTACAGAGAAGCAAATTGTACATCCCAGCAGTTGGAACCTGCCACAAACCCTGCCACAGTGAACTAAAGTATTCTGGGCAAGTTCTGGTACTGTGCTGGGCTCTAACCCAGTGAACTTTGGGTGCATGCTACTTAGTGAGATATGGGCTGGGGTGGCCAAAGGAGTGCTTGCATTACTTTTCCCTTAACTCTAGGGAACACAGCTCATGGCTCTGGGAGAGACTCTCTCTCTATTTGAGGAGAGGAGAGTAAAGAGGACTTTGTCTTGCAACTTGGTTACCAGCTCAGCCATAGTAGGATAAGGCATCTGACAGAGTTCTGAGGCTCCCATTCCCAGCCTTAGTTCCTGGATAATATTTTGAAACACATTCTGGACCCAAATGGAATTCACTGCCTTCAAGGGAAGGATCCAGTTTTTGCAGAATTCATCATGAACTGACTAAAAATCCCTAGGGCCCTCAATAAGCAGCAGTGGTAGCTAGTCAGTATTCACTGTGGGCCTTGGGTGAGACTCAAAACCGTGCTGACTTCATAAGCAGTTGTGGCAGCTATGGGGAGGGACCCCTTCCTCTTGGGCAAAGGAGTTAGAAGAGTAAAGAAAAGTTTACTTGAAGCTTGGGTAACAGCTCAGCCACATTGGGGTTTTACCTCCTGGATGGCATATCTGGATTTGTCCTGGGACAGAGTGTTAAAATGCATGCTTTGAATGAAGAGACCCACCCAAACAGGCTTTGTGTGAGCAACATGGCTGTTTATTCACCTGGGTGCAGGTGGGCTAAGGCTGAAAAGGACATTAGCGAAGGGTGGTGGGATAGGAGTTGGTTTTATAGGTTTGGGATGGGCAGTGGAAAATTACAGAGTAAGATCAGTTACAGTGGTGGGGATAGGGTCAAGGAGTATACATGACCATAAGTTCAGTTACAATGGCGGGTGGGGTAAGAGTAGTTAAGATGGTAGGGTGGGGCAAGGAGTATTCACATTGTCATAATAACAGTTAAGATGGCAGGGTCCGGTAAGCCATCTTAACCAGAGGAAACTATCAGGGATAATGGCTATCAGGGATAATGGCGAAAGAATGCAGGCAGTGGGTGGGGGGTGATCAGTCCAGGCAGGCAAGACTTCAGAATTTCCGGGTCTGGGCTTGCACATGGAGGCCTGACAAAGAGAAGAGCCCATTGCCCTGAAGAGAGAGACTCAGTGAGGCAGGAGAATAGAACCTGAAGACAGGGATCCTAAGGACTTCCTAGAACTAAATCAAATGATAACACTTTTGCTATGATAGGAAATATCATCTTTATCTACATACGGCATACACCAAATAGCTCGTGAAAACCTATAGAGGGTATTTAATCCCCAGAAAATTCTGTAACCAGGCCCTTGAGTTGCTTGCCCAGGCTTGCTGAAGAGCCCTCGGGCCTCCAGTGAAATTGGTGATAGACAGGCAGTATTAACTGTAGACCTGGCATGGTGGTGGCCAAGGGAGAGCTGTCTCTGAAGAAAAGAGAGGAAAGAGTGGGAAGGGCTCTTTTGTGGCTTGTGTGGCAGCTCGGCCACAGTAGAACAGAGCACCAGGTAGATTCCTACATGCCCTGGTATCTGACTACATGCCATGGCCTCAGACAGATTCTTGGGACACATGCAGAACCTGGGGAGGGGGGGCACTTGCTACTCTGAAGGGAAGCATGCAAACCTAGCTGGATTTGATACTTGCTGATTGAAGAGCTCTTGGGCCTTGAGTGAACATAGGCAGTAGCCAGGCAGTGATCACTGTGGGCCTAGGGAAAAAGACCCAGTGCTGTGCTGGTGTAAACCAAAAAATATCGGAGACAAGTCTCAATCAATTAAGAAAGTTTACTTTGCCAAGGTTAAGGACACAGCTGTGAAACAGCTTTAGGCGGTCCTTACGATGAGTACCCAAGGTGGTGGGGGTACAACTTGCTTTTATACATTGTAGGGAGATATAACACATCAATCAGTGCATGTAAGATTTACATTGGTTCAATCTGGATGAGCAGGACAACTTGAAGCAGGGGCTTCCAGGTCAGAGGTAGATTTAAACATATTCGGATTGGCAATTAGTTGAGTTATTATCTGGAGAAAAGAATGCCTGGGTTAAGATAAAAGGCTGTGGAGACCTAGGTCTTATCATGCAGATAAAGCCTTCAAGTAGCAGGCTTTAGTGAAAGTAGACTCTAAATGTTTCTTCTCAGGCCTAAGGTCTTTTGTGTTGATGTTAATGCTGAAGTAGTGTAATGAGACATTTCCAATCCCCACGTCCCATTATGGCTTGGACCAGTCTTTCAAATTAAATTTTAGGGTGACCTGGCTGAGAAGGGAGCCCATCCAAATAAAATTTCACAGGGCCTTCAAATTTTATTTTTGGCTTACATTCTTTCTCTTCTGGATGAGATTTGCTACATCAATGGCCACCAAGTTTTACTTTGTTCCATAATACTGCTGGGATGAGTGGCATGCCTGCCTGCCCCAGGCCCATTCTGTCAGCACCATGGGACTCTAAATCCCACTGCTTAGGGAATTAGAGTCAACAAGACTTACAGCCAATTAATTGTTTTAGGCCAGATAGGAATGGACAGGAACAGGCATTTATTACCCCTTAAATTTATTATTTTTTAAGTAGAAAGCCAATAAACAAAAAGCCAAAGGCAAGGTTGCAAAGCTGTCATTTTTAATTTTTATGCTTTGAGTTACTGTAATCTTAGTTTTAGCTACAGGCTTATAGGAATGAACTATACAAAATATAAGTATTACTCTGAAAAAAATTTTTTAAGGAAAGATATATCTATTGGGAAAACTCCTAACTGGGGGTATTATACTTAGGAGGTTTTGTCACAAGTTATCTTTATCTTCTCAATAATTATTTTCTTTTAATTCTACAGGAAGCAGGATATTCTTTATTGCTGGGGTAGATGCAAAGGTGCCACATAATAGTAGCTCAGGAGGTAAAGTCTCTTGTTTTGCTAGCAGTTTAAACATCTTTGTACCCATCCTTGATTTGGTGGGTCTGACATGCATCAGTCCCTGGGCATAGAGGAAGGGTACTTATATACTCTTAGTAGCTATGTATTTGCAGTTAAAAACAGATCAGACCCAGTGGGATGCCAAATTAGGTAGACTGACATTTCTGGCCTTCAGAATACCATGATGTTGGTTTTCTTGGAAGTAAAACACAGATAAATAAATAACATTAATATTTAGACAATGAAGAGTATTTGCGTGTCAGAACAGAGAAAGGAACCAATTCCATTAGGGTACTAACTAAAAATATAAAGAAAAGTTATAATCTGATACTCTTTAGAGAATAATTATAGCCAAGAAATGATTCATGATTTGATCTGCACTGAAAAAAAATCAGGGCTGAAATCTAGTATGAAGTGTTACACTTTTTCTTTGAAACAATTTCGCTTTCTCTCTAGCTCTCCTTTTCTATTAAATAGAAATTATAGTAAGACCAATTTGTGTACAAAGTAAATTTTAAGCTTATACTTTATCTGATTATTCACATAAGGTATAGCAAGAATGATTGACTATATAGGCTCCTCTTAAGTTGGCTTTGCTGGAGCTTTACCCAAAAATATGCAATTTTAGTCAAAGTCTTGGTAAAATAACCAGTGTCTTCAATTGTTCTGTTCTAAAGGGCTCTTACTAAACTTATGCAAATAACTACATTGTCATAAAATTACAATCTGGATTTGGGAGAACTCAGAGAGAAAAGTAAATTTGCTTAAAAAACATATTTCACCAAAATGTTCTCAACTATGAATAAAAGAAAAAAAATGTTTGATCCCTCTTTAACCAGAGCAGCAACCTTCCAAACAAGATATTTATTCACCTTGGAACTGCCATTCACAAGCCAAACGGCTCATGAGAGCTGTCTATAAAGCACTGTAAAATCTAGTAGCTTCTCATATATTTAGAATCAGTACTAGGGAAAAAAGAGGCTCACTGCTCATGAGTATCACCTCCTTTTATCCCCAGGTAGCAAGAGCGTATGTAAACCATTTTCATTTTACCATGGAACTCTTTGGGGCACTATTATTTTTATTAGCATAGGGGTAGCCTCAGTTAACATTCCAGGGAAAGGTAGTAAGTGCCCTCAAGTAGAAATTTAGCAGTCCAGTACTTGCTATTGGGAAGTACTCACAGTCTTTTGCCATAAGCCCCAATAAATGCTCCACAAAAGGCTACAAAGTGGAGAATTTGTCCTGACTAGTACTCCAGCTTTTACCCTATATTTTTAGGTTCAGACAATCTTTATTAGTTCCCATGCAATCTGTCCAATTAACATTTCTCAAAAAGCAGATTTACAAGCCTTCAGGTTTATACTACGAATAGGGAAAATATCCCCCAGTTAGATGCAATACCTATTTTCATAAGACATTCAGGTAAAGGAATTACAACTACCTTACATAAAGTCTGTTTAAATATCTCAAATTTTATAATTCTATTAACCTGTATGTTTTTGTTAGCCAATCAAGTTTTACTTTAGATTGTGAGGTCTGGCTCCAGCCAATGGAGATCAGACACAGCAGTAAGGACAACCCCAAATGGGTAAGAAATAAATTTGTGTGTTTCCCTTTGTTCTTTGTACTCTTGTGGCAAGATGGCTAGTGAGGGTACCTTTCCTGCAGTCCAGGAAATAAAAATTGCATTGCTGAAAGATCCTTTGTCTCAATGCTAATTTTCCTTTGTGGCACTGAGTATCTATTTCCAATAAATTCTATCTCCAACCAACAACTCCCTTTTTCCTTTCCTTTCTTTTTTTTATTAATTATCCCTGATTTTTAATAATCAACTATAAGATCCATGAGAGATAGCAAATTTGATAAGACTTCTCAAGGAGTCATATGAGTCTGTGAGAGGGGTAACCGTCTAAAAGGGGTCCCCTTAATTCTAAAATGTAGTGTGACCTGGTTATAGGCATATTCTGTAGGAGAATATTCCCGTCATTACAAAGCCAGGCCCACATTGCTTGCCTGTGAAGCATAACAACTGTTTTATCTGTAGTGTTCCACTTGGTATTTTATAGGAAAAACCAGGCAGTCCCCTTCTCAGGATAAACAGAACTTACAGTGGTGTTAATCCCATCTACAAGGCTGGGTATTCTCTCAGGAATAACCACCTGTGAATTTGTATTATAGATGTTCACCAGTAATTGTTCAATGTGAGCTGTAGGCCCTGCATCAACTTGAACATGCACTTTCATTCTGCACCATTTAAAATTGAGACTTCTGTCCTTAAAGTGTTTTTTGTTTGTTTGTTTTTGTTTGTTTGTTTGTTTTTTACAGTTCATTATAGTAAGGGATTCTCAAGAAGCTGATGATACCTGATATGGTTTTGATTTCTCTCCCCACCCAAACCTCATATCAAATTGTAATCCCTAATGTTGGAGGAGGGGCCTGTTGAGATGTGATTGTATCATAGGGATGGATTTCCCCCTTACTGTTCTTGTGATAGTGAGTGAGTTCTCATGAGATCTGGTTGTTTAAACATGTATGGCACACCTCCCTCCACTCTCTTCTTCCTGCTACAGCCATGTAAGATCGGCCTCCTTCCTCTTTGCCCCCCACCATGATTAAAGTTTTCTGAGGCCTCCCTAGCCATGCTTCCTGTACAGCCTGTATAACTGTGAGCCAATTAACCTTCTTTTCTTTATAAATTACCCAGTCTCAGATAGTTCTTGATAGCAATATAAGAACAAATTAATACAAAAAAAAGGTACTGGGAAAAGGGGAATGACCATAAAGATGGCTAAAAATGTGGAAGCAGCTTTGGAACTGGGTAATGAAGAGGTTGGAATAGTTTGGACAGCTCAGAATGAGACAGGAAGATGAGAGAATATTTGGAACTTCCCAGAAACTTGCTGAATGGCTGTGACCAAAATATTGATAGTGATATGGACAGTAAAGTCCAGGCTAAGGTGGTCTCAGATGGAGATGTGGAACTATTTGGGAACTGGAGAAAAGATCACTCTTGATATTCCTTAGCAAGGAGGCTGGAAGGATTGTGCCCCTGGTCCAAGGATCTGTGGAGCTTTGAACTTGAGATAGATTATTTAGGATATTTGGCAAAAGAAAATTTTAGGCAGCAAATCATTAAAGATGTGGCCTGAGTGCTTCTAACACTGTATGAACAAATGAGATAACACTGCATGAAAAAAGAGATAATCTGAAACTAGAACTTATATTTAAAAGTTAAGCAGAGCATAAAAGTTTAGAAAATTTGCAGCCTGAACATGCAGAAAAAAAAACAAAAAACAAAAAACACAACTGTTTTTAGGAGTGGAATTCCAGTCATCTGTAGAAATTTACATAAATAAAGAGGTGCCAAATATTGATAACCAAGATAATGTGGAAAAGACCTTGAAGATATTATAAAGACCTTTGTTTCAGCCCCTCCCATAACAGGCTGGGAGACCTAGAAGAGAAGAATGATGTCCTGGACTGCTCCCAGGTCCCCAGTGCTCTGTGCAACCTCAGGAAATGATGCGCTGTATCACAGTTGATCCAGCTCCAACCATGGCTAAAAAGGGGTCGAGGACATTTACTTCAGAGGCTTAGAACATTTACTTCAGGGATTACAAGCCATAAACCTTGGTAGCTTCCATGTGGTGTTAAGTCTGCAGGTGCACAGAGTGCAAGAGTTGGGGCTTGAGAACCTCTGCTTAGATTTCAAAGGATGTATAAAAATGCCTTGATCTTCCAGGAAGAATTCTGCTGCAGGGGTGGAGCCCTCATGGAAAATCTCTACTAGAGCAGTGTGGAGGGAATGTGGGCTCAAAGGCCCCACAGAGAGTTATCACTGGGGCACTGCCTAGTGGAGCTTTGAGAAAACAGTCACCATTTTCCAGACTGAAGAACATTGTATCCATCAGCAGCTCATGCCATGCACCTGGAAAAACCACAGGCACTCAACATCAGCCCTTCAGAGCAGCCACGAGAGCTGAACCCTGTGGAGTCACAGGGTGAGAGCTGCACAAGGACTTGGGAGCACAGCCCTCGCATCAATGTGGCCTGGATGTGAGACATGGAGTCAAAAGAGATTATTTTGGAGCATTAAAATTTAATGGCTGCCTTGCTCGGTTTCAGACTTATATGGGGCCTGTAGCCCCCTTATTTGCCTGATTTTGGAATGGATGTATTTACCCAATGCCTGTACCTCCATTGTATCTTGAAAGTAACTAACTTGTTTTTAATTTTTCAGGCATATAGACAGAAAGAACTTGCCTTGTCTTGATTAGATTTGGACTATGAACTTTTGCATTAATGCTAAAATGAGTTAAGACTTGGTGAACTGTTGAAAGTGGATAATCGTATTTTTCAATGTGAGAAGGACATGAGATTTGAAAGATACTAGATAATTTGGATTTGTGCCCCCAAACCTCCAGTTAAATTGTAATTCCCAGTGTTGGAGGAGGAGTCTGGTGGGTGGGGATTGGATCATGTGGGCAGATTTATCCCTTATTGTTCCCATAACAGTGAGTGAGTTCTCACAAGATCTAGTTGTTTAAAAGTGTATAGCAACTCCCCCTTTACTCTCTTCCCCCTGCTCTGGTCATGTAAGATGTGCTTTCTTTCTCTTTGACTGACAGCATGATTGCAAATTTCCTGAGGCCTCCCCAGCCGTGCTTCCTGTACAGCCTGAAGAACCATGAGCCAATTAAACTATTTTTCTTTATAAATTTTGCAGTCTCAGGTAGTTCTTTATAGCAATGTGAGAACAGATTAATACAATACCAATCTACAAAACTGAACAACTCGTTTACATTATAGCCTCTGATTTTAATAGTTACTTGGTTCTTCGCTTCCTCCTTATAAGCAATCTTATTGGTAACCACAGATCTCCGAGATAACTTTTGTTACCCTCATTTAATTTTACTTTTTATCCATTTAGCTTTATTTATATAATTTTTAAATTTAATTTAAAGTGACTAATATTCTCTTAACTAGAAAAAAATTATATTTTCTTCAGCAGAAATAACATTCTTATGTTTTATAAACTTTACCAAAAACATCTATTATGCTTCTATTATTTTAATTCTTAGTAAAGCAAATTCCCAGTCCCTGAAAATGAAACTGAGGTCACTTAATTTAACATAACACGACTTTAAGATTTTAAAATACTGCAGAGAATTTTGAAATTAAATGTACCTAATTAATCTTAGCAAATATTGCCAAAATCATCTAAAATAAAAGGCATCTTAGCCAGGTTTCATCAGTCTGATAAGCCTTTAATTTTAAGTTCAATTATTTGAGCTCTTTCATACAGCTTAATTGGGAAATTTTACTTTAACATGACACATATAAACATAGTTATAACAGACATGCAGACAAAAGCTGATCCAAAAGATTTTTTATTTGCCTGTTTAAAAAAAAAATCTTCTCTACTTTGGATTATTAATAAATAAAATGTCACAATAAAAGTTGAAAAAGAGAGTTAGCATCCCAGGTCTTCTCAAGAGAGACAAGAAACTGAAGCAGCATATTACAGCTTGTGAGATGTCAATCTGAATAATTTCAAAAAGAAACAGATTATAGAATTTAAAATAAAAGATACTTCTTGCATTAAAGAATAACTCAATTTTTTTCAAGACAGAGTCTCGCTTTGTCATCCAGGCTGGAGTACAGCAGCACAATCTTGGGTTACTGCAACCTCTGCCTCCTGAGTTCAAGTGATTCTCCTGCCTCAGCTTTCTGCATAGCTGGGATTACAGGCATGCACCACAACACCTGGCTAATTTTCTGGATTTTTAGTAGAGATGAGGTTTCACCATGTTGGTCAGGCTGGTCTCAAACTCCTGACCTCAGGTGATCTGCCCACCTTGGCCTCCCATGTTTGAAGTACAGGCATAAGTCACCATGCCCAGCCAAGAATAACTCAATATTTTTAATGAAACCTTTTTTTTCAACCAGTTATACAGTTTTTGTTTGAGTGTATTTTTAATACTGAATTTTAATATAATAAATAGTCCAATTATTTATTATAACTTCCTCAATATAGCCAATTAATCACATAATATTTTTATAAACTACTTTTTTTACTACCTTATTATGACTTAGACCGTTCAAGACTTTATGAACTTGAGTGTTCCTGTGTTGAGTGTACATACATTTAGAATAGTTAGGTCTTCTTGTTGAATTGAACTCTTTACCATTATATAATGCCATTCTTTGTCTTTTTAAATATTTATTGGTTTAAAGTCTCTTTTGTCTAAAATCAGGATTGAAACCCCTGCTTTGAACTGATTTCCATTTGCTTGGTAGGTTTTTCTCCATACCTTTATTTTAAGTCTATTGCACCTTAGATGGAGTTTGTAAAAACTGCATATCCTTGGGTATTGCTTTTTTATGTAGCTTGTCACTCTGTGTCCTTTAAGTAAGACATTGAGCCTGTTTACATTCAAGATTTTTATTTACATGTGTGGATTTGATTTTGCCATTGTGTTGTTTGCTGGTTAGTATGCCAGTATATTTGTGTGGTTGTTTTATAGTGTCACTGGTCTGTGTACTTAAGTGTGCTTTTGCATTGGCTGAAAATGCTCTTTCCTTCCCATATCTAGCTCTTCTTTCAAAATGTCTTTTGGGGCAGGTCTGGTGATAACAAACTCTCTCAGCATTTGCCTATCTGAAAAAAAAAATATTTCCTCTTTGCTGAAGAAGCTTTGTTTGGCTGATGATATGGTTTTAATCTGTGTCCCCACCCAAATCTTGTGTTTGATTTTAATTCCCAATGTTGGAGTCAGGACCTGCTGAGAAGTGATTGGATCATGGGGGTGGTTTCTAATTGTTTAGCACCATATTCTTGTATCATTGCTATTCTTGTGATAGTTTTCATAAGACAAGATTGCTTAAAAGTGTGTAGCACCTTCTCCCTCTCTCCTTTCCTCATGCCCTGGCCATGTAAGATGTTGGAGCAGGAGGAAGAGATTCACCTTTCACCATGATTGTAAGTTTCCTGAGGCCTCCCAGGAGCTGAGCAGAATGCATTATTTTTTCTGAACAGCCTGTGAAACCATGAGTCAATTAAACCTTTTTTCTTAAAAATTAGCCAATCTCAGGTATTTCTTTATAGCTGTATGAGGAACAACTAATACAACCGGACATGACATTGTTGGTTGAAGATTTTTTGTCCTTAAGAATATTGAATATTGGCTCCCAATTTATTCTGGCTTATAGTCTTTGTGCTGAGAGGTCCACTGTTAGCCTGATTGGTTCCTTTTCTAGGTGATGTGCCCTTTTAATGTTTTTTTTTTTGTTGTTGTTTGTTTGTTTGTTTTTTCATCCTGACCTTGGAAAATCTAATGATTACATTTCTTGGAGATAATCTTACTGTGTTAAATCTTGCAGGAATTCTCTGTATTTTCTGAATTTGACTATTATTGTCTCCAGCAAGCTAAGGAAAGTTTTTATAGATAGTATCCTGAAGTATGTTTTCCAAGTTGTTTACATTTTTCCTGTCCATTTCAAAGATGCCAGTGATTCATAGATTTGGACTTTTTATATAATCCCACTTTTCTCATGGATTTTGTTTGTTCCTTTTCATTCTTTGTTTCTTATTTTTCTCTGACTGTCTTATTTCAGAAAACTAGCCTTCATATTCTGACATTCTTTCCTCAGCTTGATCTACTATGCTATTAATACTTAAAATTGCATGGTGAAATTCTTACAGTGTGTTTTTCAGCTTAATCAGATCAGGTAGGTTCTGTATTATACTGGCTATTTTGTCTGTCAGCTCCTGTATAATTTTATTGTGATTCTCACTTTCCTTGGATTGGATTTTGCCGTTCTAGTGAATCCTCATGATCTTCATTCCTATCTGTATTGTGAATTCTATTTCTGTCATTTTAGCCAACTCAGCTTGGTTAAGAACCTTTGTTGGAGAACTAGTGTCATTCTTTGGAGGACATAAGACATGCTGGCATTTGAGAGCCAGAATTCATGCATTAGTTCTTTCTCACCTCTGCATGTGGGTAT